AAACATACTTCTTCAATCCCTGGTCCATAAGTGTATGCCCAACACAAATGCCCTGTGTCTCAACCCTAACAACTCCTTTCTTGAAGGTAAAGAGATCGGGTCTCACCAGCGCCACAAAACTCACAGGATCGTGAAGAAAAATTCCTGAACAAAAGAAAATATTTTTTTTTTTTTTACGTTATGTCTGAAAAGCTGATGATGGATTGTTAATGTGATTGGATATTAATTCGACTGGTTTTTTTATTGATTTTTTTGTTAACTATAATTAATTTCGAAAATTGTGGTATAATTAGTTGTTAGTTGTATTTAAGTTTAAATTAAAATTATACTTAAAATAAAATAATTAAAATTGATTTGATGTAAAAGTAGAAGAAAGATGATTTGAAATGATGGTTATTTAAAATTATGTGAGTGGATGAATAATAAATTAAATTTGAGTTTTTTATTGGTGAAGTTTATATCCAATCACACCCTAAACCATTGCATAATTACTCCTAATTGGCCATTACACATTCAATTGTTGTTTCTTTCATAATACTCGATTTTCATGGTTAGTTCCTTGATACTTTCCCCAATAAACTGTTGAGATGAGGGAGAATTTTGTTGTTTTCCTATAATTAGCTATAAAAATTACCATATACGCCATCCGACTTCACGTGCCAGTCTCGATAAAACTTGCAAATATCACATACGAACTTTGCATACCGTCCTTTTGATTTCCTCAGCTCGTCTAGGTGCAAATCTGAAAGCCAACACATGTTCAAATAAGATACTATTATTCCAGTACAAATCGGCACAGTTGAAGGAAATAAAAAACTTTTATTTCAATAGAAAACCGGAATTTGACCTGTCATTTTGACTTGGGTTGTGATATTTATGCCAATAACGTCGATATTTGCCCCCGAAGTGAATACAATATCTGCAGCTTCTGGGTCCCCATATATCTGCCACTCACACCAAATTAAAACTATAACTCCCTAGTAATTTTGGAGATTTTTAAGTATAACTATAGCAAAATATATTTTACATTTATTAAAAAAACAAAAATTTACGGATTCTTTAGGGTACAATCTCAGGAGCTGATTGAACAAACAACTATAGAAGAGGCATGGATTACTTACATTTGCTTCAGCTGCAGGATTAACATTTCCCAAAGCAAAGAAAGCCCCGCCGAGAATCACAATTCTCTTCACTTTGCTTGCAAAAGAGGAGTCTCTCTTTATAGCCTAAAATCGAAAAAAAGGGATAAATTTTTGGGCACGAGCAAAACTAATAACAGAGAAAATAATAACTAACTTACGAGCGCGAGATTCGTAAGCGGTCCCAATGCAAGTATAGAAACTTCACTGGGATATTCAGAGACTTTATCGACCAAAAATTCAGACGCCGATTTTTCGGATTTCTTGGATTTGGGAGGAGAAATGGAGATATTCCCCAATCCATTCGAGCCGTGAACAAAGTCTGCAATTCGTGGTGGTCCTCTCTGTTTTTATATTAAATATGGTCAGAGGATAGAGAGTGTTCAAATTAAAATTCTTGTACTTTATTTATTCAACGAGTGCCATTTTTAAGTTTTTACTTCTTATTCATTTAGTTAAAATGCACACGTAGTAAATCACACATTGTCTATTTCCATTATACCTTCAATGGTTCAGGATTTCCCTCAGCCACGGGCACATCTGGACGTCCAGCAAGCTCACACTATCCTTTTTTGCATTAAAATACAGTAAGTGATCATGAAATCGACTAAATATTAAGAAAAGAAAAAAACACATACCAGAATCAATGCATTACGCGTGGCAGCTTCTGTAGTAACATTGCCAAATGTTGTTGTTAATCCTAATATCTCCAACTCAGGTGACTGAAATGCCATTAGTATTGCCATGCTATCGTCTGCATATCGACACATTCCAAACAGCATTTGTTTCAGAATAGACAACACACAAAATGTATTCTTTCGAGTAAATCCCATATGCAATCAACGTCCAAATGTTAATAATTGCAGCTAAATGTACAAAGACTCTTATCCTTTCGAGCACTCATAGGAAATCGGTGTTCTACTTTATAGATTCCAAATAACTTGAATGCATGCACACAAGAAGAGTTTTCTTTGATTTAGATTGAAGTTTTGTGTTTGTATAATTAGCCTGCATACTAATTATAACATTATATGTGCCAAAAATATAAATACTTTCGAGCCATCTCCCCAAAGTTGTGTAAGCAAAATGATCCAACGGGTCAGAATCAAGATGTGTGCACTGCACACACCAGTAGAATGAATCCTACCAATCAACCGCAAGCCCTCTAATTTAAAAGCTTTGCATAATCTAATTGATCTCTCATATTTTGCCACTTAGTTACTAAACAATTCACCCACTCCTAATTGCAGACAAAGTTTTACCTCAAATAATCTGCAAGTTCACATTTTGCTCCAATATTTTTCATAAATGATAATTTTCTAAACTATATCTTATCTGTTCAAAGCCTGATAATATATAGGGAAATGCTACTGTTATGGAACTATTCCGTCGAGGTTTGTAACCGTCAGATCAAGTGAAAAGTGATTCAAAAGTGAAAAGTGATTCAAAAGATGCCACATTTAAGATTCCATCAGCATAATTAACAACACCAGCATAAAACCCAAATTGCCCAGAACCAATAAGATAAAACCCAAAAGAAATAACTAAACAAATAAGCCAAAAAATAAAAAATAAAAATCCAATCTTGATCACATAAATTGAAAACAAGGGTTCATAGTTCTTACCAATACCAGGATCAGTGTCAATAATAATCTTCTCATGATTCTTTCTAGTACCATTGTCTGAAAACATCAGCCCATCAATCCCATCGCGCTCAAGAATCGACATCGCCTATTTATCTTCAAAAACAAAACGAGACCCAATAAAATTGTAAAGTGCTAAAGGATTTTTAAAAGGGTCCCAAAAATTAAAACAAAAGATTTCAGGATATACGCATACAGAATTGATGCTGGAATAATTTATTAGCGGAAACTCAACAAAAAAACGAAATATATAAAAAAGAGTTGTATCGCCAGCTCCGACTCTACGAGCCTGGCGATAAGCTGCCGAATTATTTAGTCCAACGGACCACCTCTTTCTTTCTTTTTTTTTTTTTCTTCTTTTATTTTCTATATGTTCTATTTCCACGGGCCTACCCGGCCCGGCCCGAATATTGCCGGTTCGTTGAACCAGAACCTTGTCAATGCGGGTCGGTTCTGGTACTTTGCATATTTTTTTTTTTTTTT